GATTTATCTCCACTTCATTTAGAGGCAATCAACAAACCAACATTACCAGCATTTTGGTGTTCTGCAAGGGAGTCCACCATGATGCTGAAGCCGGGACTCTGAATTCCAGGCCTGATAGAATCAGTAGGGAATGGTCTCTCTCGCTGAGAGCTTATTCAGAATGGCGTCTTGTGACGCAGAAGGGCTTTCTGAGAGGAGATAATGCACTCAGCCATGTCCTGGCTCTTGTCTCTGGTAATAAAATAGTCTTCTCTAACCCCTAACCACTACTGCAGTGTTCCAATAAACAATGGTGCTTAGTATATAGAAGGTCTTAAATACTGTGTAATGAGTAAATAAATGGAAGTACACAGCTCTTCTAAATGTGCTGGACTCTTTCATGTCTGCATTTGAAAAATAAATGTCTTTATTTTGGACAATAATTTAAAAATATCTCAGTATTAAGGTGTTTATTCTTTTTTAATACTTGACATATGACCGACCATGTGGCCACAGATTTAGGCTATTTTATTTGATATTTTTTACTCCTGATTATTCCATTTGGGTCTCTCAAACTATATTATGAAATCCCTTAATTATTTAAATTGGGAACAGATTAATTATCTCCAGTGTACAAACTCAAATTAATTTCACTATTAACTTGAGTTTTAAATTGATTAATCTTGGAGTGTTTAAGGGACCAGGTGAAATTTTTTTTTTTCCCATCCTTAAGGAAAAGGGCATATTTGACTTGATGAAACTCTCTCCATCATCCCCATTATGCTAATAGGAGTAAGAAATTTACCAGAAAACTTTGGATTAGATTTTATAAACCAGCCAGAAACCTGTGTGTCTAGAGAGCTTCTGGGGGAACAATCTGTGAGTCATTTTAAAAAACAAACACACTCATCATCACAGTGCGTGTTGTTGCCATGGTGATTAGGCCTGTGGCATTGGCTTGCTTGTGTTCCAGTAAAGGGAGGAAGGGGAGAGAAGCTGAGAGTTCAGAGCTTTGACTATCAGCTTCAATTATTGCAGGAAAGAATATAGGGTGTTCTTGAGAGCATATTGGCACAGTCATCGTCGGAGGGAAGTAAAGAAACCCTGGCATCCTGCCTTTGTTGTTGAATATGAGTTAGCCATATTAGTGTTGGGTGTTGTGAGTCACAGGTGAGAAAAGGACCATTTGGCATTCTCTTGGGAAGAAGGGGGAAAGATAGGGTTTTTAATCTGATAGATAATTCCATATAAATCTCTAAGGTCTTCCTGGTGAACTGTCTCGTATGCAGGTGCGCAGGGCTTTAGTGATCTTCCAAAAGGCACGAAATGCCACTGGCATAACATTATTGCAGATTTAAAGGATCCTCAGTGCATTATTCTAATATGGTTAGAGACTGGTCTTAGTGAGGCCATTGTTTCAGATCTGATCCCCAGGTAGACCAAGTATCTTTCCTGTGTTTTGTGGAGTAGATGTGAGTCCTTTATCTTGGACAGTCATCTTATAATGCAGGCCCCCTAGTTCACAGAGGAGACCAGGAAGGTTATATGAGCTCTGCCAGATCTGTCCCCTCTCCAGGGGAAAGTGAAATAAAAAACACTGTTGATGGGCAGTCAACAGAGTTATTGAGCCGGTGGAATTGCTGCAAGAGTGATTCATTATGATTCATTATGGAGAACAAACAACATCCTTAAAGTAAAGGTGTGCGTTAGTGCATATTTTTAAAAGAATGTTTCTTAGTTCACTTTGAGAAGTCCATGTAGCCTCTTCAATGGATATACAGTAGTCCCCCATATCTGTGGGGGATACATTTTAAGACCCCCCCAGTGGATGCCTGAACCATGTATGTTTTCTCCTATACTCACATACCTTTTCACTTAAAGGAAGATGTTTACATCTTTTTTTGCATATCGGAGTTGCCAGCATCATTATTCTTGTGCTTTGGGGCCATTCTTAAGTAAAATAAAGGTTACTTGAACACAAGCACTGGGTTACTGTGACAATCAATCTGATAACTGGGAAGGCTACTACGCGACTAATGGGCAGGTAGCAAAGACAGCATGGGTACACTGGACAAGGAGATGATTCTCATCCCAGGCCGGATGGAACAAGATGGTGTGAGATTTTATCACCCTACTCAGAATGGCATGTAATTTAAAACTAATGAGATGTTCGTTTCTGGGATTGTTCATTCAATATTGTTGAACCATGGTTTACCGTGGAAAGAAAACCATGGTTAAGGGTTAAGTACTATAATACTACAATTTCATTTTTTAGAGTATTCCTCAAGCAGATTTTAAAGCAGATTTTATTTGGAGTTAAATAACTTTCCCTATTAAAACTATTTTTCAAAAGGTTTCAAATAAAGTGCCTTGGGGTGTGACTAAGGATCATACAAACTCAAGGAGTTTGTACGGAATCTGTGCACTGGCATAGGAGGTAATAACTACTTCTCATAACTATAGGTTTTATTTTTTCTCATAGGTGGGGAAAAGGCACATGTTGCCAAACTTACTCTGTGCTCTCTTAATTTTCTTAACATTAGTAAGCAAAGCTTAACTTATAGTTTTCTTCTGATGATCAAAGTAATTCACGGTGATTATTGAAAATTTGGAAAATGGGGAAAAAAATTGGAAAATGCTTAAATTGTAAAGAAAAAATAAGAATGACCCTTTCTATTAATTAGGTTGTTGGTTGAATTGTGTGTAAGAGGCCTGATTTGATTGTGGCTGACACATGCTAGGAGTTTTCTCCCTTTCACATAACAATCCAGAGGTGGGTGGTCCAGGGCTGGTAAGATAGCTCTGCTCCACAAGGTGGAGGGACCCAGGCTTCTGATATCACCTTGTTCCATCATTCCTAGCATGCTTCCCTTGCTTTATGGTCTAACATGGCTTGCCATAAGGACCCCACTGTAACTAGCAAGAAGGGAGAAAGTTGAAAGGGGAAGGCATGACCCAGAAGTTGCACATACCATTTTTGTAGCCATCCCCTTGAACTTTGACTCATGGGAGTCACACATAGCATCAAGGGAGGCTGGGGAAAGTAGTTATTTTTGACATGTATATGGTATGCGCTAGTTTAGAATTCAATATAAGCATGAAATAAAAAGAGAGAGGATATTGGGGCATATCTAACAATTTCTGCTACTTCCATTATTCTATACAAAAGAGATAATACACTGTTTACATTTGTATGTATCTCTCTCTAATATTTTTTCTAGAAAAAAACTACATAGCAGAAAGATTATGTATAATATTTACTAGAAAATATTACGTATTATGTTAAATGAATATTACATATGAAAAATATATAAAATGCATTAGAGCTATCATGATTTATAAATATCTATATTAGAAAATTAGTTGAGGTTATACTATATATAAAATGTGCATTTTTTCATTGTTTAAAAATTTTTTTATTCACTGTTTTAAAGTTCTATCATGTAGAGTTTTTGTTTTATTTATTATAAATAAATATTTGATATTTAGTTGTATTTGATATTTAGTCTACTTTTTAACACATGGTAATAATTTATGATCTACATTTTGGAATTTATTTGTTTATTTTTGAATAAAGTCAAGGAGTAGCATCACTAAGAAAATGATTGAGAATATATTTGAGGATCTTGAAAAATGCTGCCAAACTGCTTTCCAAAGAAGTCGTGCTGCACAAACCGGTTTGGCTTAGTGGATAGAGCATCGGCCTGGCCTGCGGACTGAAGGGTCCCAGGTTCAATTCCGGTCAAGGGCGTATACCTTGATTGCAGGCACATCCCTAGTCAGGGGCGTGCAGGAGGCAGCTGAATCGATGTTTCTAACTCTCTATCCCTCTCCCTTCCTCTCTGTAAAAAATCAATAAAATATTTTTTTTAAAAAAAAGAACTTGTGCTGATTCATGCTATTGCCAATAGCACATGAGAGTGCTGCAGCGCCCTGCACAGGCTCATTTTGCTAGTCCACTAATCACTGTTCTCTCTAGGGTTCATTCTCTGAAAATAGGTTGTTTTTGCCCTTACCTTGTGCTTTTTTTTATTATTATTCCTTTGCTGTCATTAATCATGGTAATAGTTTCCTAATAATGTTGGTTTATTTAAAAACATATGATTCCTGAAAGTCATCTGGGACTATGGTTGGTTGGGTTGAGACTAAAGCACATGTGCCAGTCTTAAGCAATGTGAGATCGCTAGAGACACTGATGTTCCTTAGGATGCAATGTGAATTGGGTTTTCACCCTTAGTCAGTACTTTAGATGTGAGGCACCTCTTTGTTCTGAGACACAACAAAAGAGAACCGATAAAGCACTTCCGGGGGCAGAGGTGATTCCCTTTGAGCTGGGTCCTGGGGAGCTTTTCAGCAGTAAAGAAGCTCCTGAACATAGGAACTGCCTTAGAGATGCACCGTATTTGGGCAGTAGGCAAAATTAGCCCACAAATCTGCTCACCATCCTCAGAGGTCACTAGGGCCTTGGTGTATAGGAATCTCTACTTTTAAACAGCTTCCAGAAGCTTTGGCCGCTAAAGATGCTTTTATAACCACTAACTTGTCCATCCACCTCTTAAAGTGTTAGATACACACAAAGGGAACTCCAACTCCACCCCCAACACCTGGAGAAGGAGTGTGCTCCATCTCTGCCACTTGGGTCCTGCCGGGAGCCAATCGGGTTAGGTCAGGGGCAAAGCTTGTTTTTATTCATCTCCCTGGTACACAGCCTCTGTCACAAAGAACTCTGCTTCCCCTAGGACCCCCAACTTTGCGCTTTCATGTTTTCTTGCAGGCTAGGGATGTTCACAAAGAAAGGAACTCCTATTTTCACAAATATATATCTTAAAAAAAAAAAAGTTAACAAGATGTCTGCTTCTTGACTCAGAAGTATAAACCTATCAGACCTTCCTGCTCTTCGAGCCATGTGGCCATCACCACCAAATCCCACTTACAGAAACATTCATTTGTTTGTTCAGCTCGTATGTATCATGTTATTTCTCCTTTTTCTAAACACATTTTCCTCTCTGCTTTCTTGACAGCCAGGATCGTCCAGGGAGCCTCAGGCTTCGGGCACTGAAAAGGTAAGGCTTCTGAAGTGTTTTCCTCCAGGATCTTGAATCTCACCAGAAGTTCAAGGGAAAATAAGTGTCTGAAGTGATGCTAGAGAGGAAAGCATTGAACATGTGATATTTATCAAACATTCATAGCCTCTGTAGCAATATTGACATGACTTCGGGATTTAAAGGGGAAAAATGGCCCCCCTTGATAGTTTAAACCAGATTTCTCACTCAGATTCCCCGATTTTCTTCTAACACCCGAGTGAGAGAGCCTTTGCAGTCGCTGCCTTAATAAAATGTGTTCCCGTGGCACTAAACACGGCTACGTGGTTGCAGCTGTTGAAAATGTGCCCTGTGAACGGGAGATGTTAGGTAGATCAGAGATTATGAGCCCTGTTCTTAACAGATTGGCTGTAGACATTGTAAGGACATTTCCAGAAGCAACAACTACATTAAAAGGGCAGTTTAATGCTGGCGGGGTTTCTCCTTGAAGAAGCTGACTTGGCTTTGAGACTAGCTAAGCCATTGTAATCTTCGGTTCTCCAGGTTGCTGAGACAGGTGATAATGTGTGTGTTCTTCCCAACCAAGATATACAGTTTCCTCTAGACAGTGACTTGGATTGCCATCTTCTCTTTTTAAGTTTCACTTTATCATGAAAAATTATAAGCACATACCCAAATCAAGAGAATAATATGACCGTCCATAGCCCTATTCATTTAATTTTAATAATTATCAACTCACAGCCAGTATAATTTTATTTATACCCCATCCACTTCTCTTCTTTTCCCATTGGATTATATGACAGTGGCTTGAATTTGGTTGTTGAATCTTTAATATGTATTTACATAATTATTTAGTGGCTACAGTAAAATACTAATAAGAAATAAAACCTACTTATAACCTGACTTAGTTTACTGGAGCTAGTCATTCATCCATTTATTCTTTCAGTAAATATTTATTATTTACTAGTGTCAGAACCTTCTTAGAATAAGAGAGCCCATTTTCCCCACCTCACATTTATGAAGTCCTCAAATTTGGACTTCTGACATCTCCAAATGAGGTTATCTGTCAGAGATACTCTGACAAAATTAAAAGATGACACTCATAACTTTAATTGTTAAATGTAAACATGTAAAATATGCCACAATTTTTAAAGCCTATTTTGCCATTTTTTCACTTCTGAATGTACTGGAAACTTAAAAACACAAAACACTTTTCCCAACCCTCTCATGTACTTTCTTTTTTTAACATAAATATTTGTTCAGTTACCTGCCTCCCTTTCAAGAATATAAGCTCTGAGAAAGCATTTTGCCTTTCGTGTCTAGCAAGGTGTCCGGCACTTGTTATATATTTAATACAGTTGTTGAATGAATGAACATATGAGTGAATGGCAGATGCTGGGAATGTGAAGATGAAAACACACAGGCCTTGCCCCAGAGTTGCTCAGTCTCATGGGAGAGAGAAGCTTGCAAATAGGAGGTCTCTGAGCAGAGTGCTCTGGGTGAGAGAGAAGAAGAATAATGTGGTGGGGAGTTTGGTTAGAGGCTTGATGTACAAAGAAGAATTTATTTGAGCTAGGACATGAAGTGCCATCTATCAGAAAAGAGATAAAAAGGAATTCTGGGAATAAGGAATTGCATGAAAGTACAAGGCCCCGAGGAGCACAGTGGAACCTTTAGAAGTTTACAATGGCCACGCGTGGTTAGGAAGTGGCCTACTACAGAGATGTGGCTTGAGAAGTAGGCCGATGAAGCTTGGGCAGGGCTCTAGGGCCAAGCTCAAGAGTGGATTCTAGTTTGGGTGGGAAGACAGAGAAGGGCACATAGTTCTTTTTAAGGATAATTCCTTAGGCTGCAGAGTAACGTATAAAGCCGTGGAGAGAGACTAATGGAAGGGAGGCCAGTAGATCTTGGGTTTGGAAATGAAGGGCTGATGTGGGAGAACTGATGGAATTGCTGATTAAGGATGAGAAGTAAAGGAAGGAAGACATCTGGAGTAACGGCCAGATCTCCCTTTTGGGCGATGATATGGGTCATGATAACTGGGCTACGAATACAGGAAGAGGCTTCAACTCCATGGAGTGGCCACGTCCAGGTAGCTATGTCCGGAGGCTGCTCATAGGTGGGGACGGAGCAGTGGTTCCCAGTCCTGGCTGCACATCAGAATCTCCAGGGAAGAGTTTCAAAGTTCAGGTGCAGACCCTCCCCAGACCAGGTGAATCAGAATTCTGGGGGTGGGGCCTTGGATATCTGAAGTTTTTAAAAGCTTCCCAGCCAGGACTGAGAATCTCTGGTCTAGAGCTTATTAAACAAAAGGCCTGTGTGTGTGTGTGTGTGTGTCTGCTTTTAAGACCATGTATAGCTTTTGCTATTCCATAAGGAGGTTCTTTTGGAATTCAGTATTTAATATCTTACAGGTGAGGGTTGAGTTGTCCCTACATTCTACCAAATATTACTAATAATGAAGACTGTTACATAAGTATTTGATATTCTATGTCTAATATTGGGATTGATTTCTTCCAGGCTAATACATGTTTTTAAATAGGTTAAATCAATCCAAGCAGAATTTCTCAATGGGGGCTGCAGGCATGTTGAATGGGACAATTCTTCACTGTGCTCTTCATGATCCTGTCCTTGGCTCACATAAGGCCAGGGGCATCTTCCAGTCATTGTGATAGTCAGGTTCATTGGGAACTACTGCGTGTTAGCGTACAACTTTAAAGAGGTGATTTGGCATTTTCTACTCTCACCTAGAAGCGTTTTTGCTCCTTGCAAAATTATTGGTTTCAGTTATGCTCAGTGGTTCCTTATGTAAGTGGTCTCCGTGCTAACAAACTAAAGGAAGAAAGACGTGTAAAAGGAAGTGGTGTTTTGTACTGTCATAGGGATTGCGAGCATAATTGCTCTAGCACTAAAATCTGTTTTTTAAGTCTATGCAGAGAAGCAAAAATGAAACACTAGGTGAGCAGCAGTCAAATATTGGGGTTTAAAGCAAAATACTACTAAGGCATCGTGCAAATTAAATAGCAGCAGTGATGAAGAATATTTTTACTTCCTGTTGCTACTGTAACCAGTTGTCACACACTGATATAAAACGAGACAATTTTATTATTTTACAGTTCTGCAGGTTAGGTTGTGCAGAGATCTCACTGGGCTAAAAGCAGTGTCAACAGAGCTGAGTCCCTTTCTGGAAGAATTCATTTCTTTGACTTTTATGGCTTCTAGGGTCTGATTTCCCCCATCTTTAAAGGCAACAATATTGCATCTCTGTGTCTTTCTACCATAATTACATCTAACTCTGAACTCAGCCAGAAAAGTTTTTTATTTTATTTTAAAGACCCATGTCATAAGATTTGGAACACCTGGATCATCTAGGATAATCTCCCCTTCTCACTGTCCTTAATTTAATCACATCTTCAAAGTCCCTTTATCCACGTAAGGTTACATATTGATGGGTTCAAGGGATTAGGACATGTTCTTATTTGGGGGCTATTATTCTGCCTACTCCAAAGTAATTAATTGTTCTAATCTCTTTAGAAGGTAGAAATGCTTCTGGGAGCAGAGATCAGATGATCTAACATTTTATTGTTTGGGTTGAGAAGCCTTAGGGTTCCTAAATTGATGAAGCAGGTCCTTGTCTTGATTCTGCAAATCCTGTTTTCTGGATAGAGACACTGAAGGCTTTTGGTTTTCTTGGAGTGTTTGGCCTGGGGTCGAGTGGACAGGTTGAAGTCCAAGGGCTCCATTCTTGGCCAGACTTTCTGGTACTCTCGGTGTGGCCTCTGGAGAGTGCTGCTTTTGGCACTTCTCCAACTCGGAAAAGTTTGCCTACAGTGTGCAGGTTCCAAGGTCTTTGAATAGCAGCAAAGAAATGTGAGATTTTTATTTCATGCTGTTATGTCTGCCTGCCACCTTATACTTTATTTATTAGGCTCTAAAATGTGAAAATTGAAGGGAAAAATAACATACTATTTCAGAACCTCACTATAGCAGTATTTACTAATTTCTAGGGATGGTTTCATTTCCTCCATACATTAGGCAGGTCATCCCCAACAAAGTAAGAAAGCATTTCTTAACCTAGTGAATGAAATGAATCTAAGTTTTTTTGAAGACATCTCTGGAATAGAATGTAGTCAGAATTTTCTTATGGAGATTTAATTTGTTTTTCACCTATTTTTTGTAGCAATCCCCTTTCTATCCACTTCTAGACCCTTCAGCAATGCAGATCTGAAGGCCAAAGCTAGGTAGGGCTCGCAGTAGAGTAACACACCATCCTTGTTTGTTGAACTGAGGTGATCCTTGCACGTGGGACCTTCAGTGCTGAAACAAAGAGAATCTCGGGACAGATCGGAACAGTTGGTCAACCCAGATGCCTAACAAATGGCTCTGATGGAAAGTGGCTGTCATGTTGATGAATTAAAATAGAAATGTTGATTGAATTAAACAATGACAACAATCCTCAAGGTTTGGGTTGACAATAACGGTGAATATAACTCTTTGAAAATCTGTATCCATATATATGTGTTTGCCCATATCAACTTAAAACAACAACAACAACACTAAGATTCACAGCTAAGAACAAGCACCATTTTTTGAAATATTATATGCCATAGCCTGCCCTTGCCATTCTCCAGTGTCATCAGCAAACTCCTGCATGATGTTTCTGATGTTCACAGCTTTGATGATTTCATTATTGAGGTGACCACAGGACCTCGTTGAAGCTTTCTCAGCAAGTCAGCACGTATGGAAATTATACAATCCAAGTTTCCCAAAGCATCACAACGCTCTCTTAGTTTGAATTCTGCCTTTTGTAGAAGTCCCCTCCCGCCCCCCCTTAAAAGACAGCATAGACTATTCATTCAGGAATAGACAAATATTAGGAAGTTTAACTTGAATGCTCCAGGGGAAGGGATTGGAGTGGATAATGTCTTGGAGTCTTATCCAACACCAAGAACTTGGAGCTTTCTGACCTCCCAGTTGTGGAGCATAAACTACTTAATGATGTAAGTGGCTGTGTCCATAGC